TGATGACAAAGAAAAGACACAGACACGAGCTGTCTCTTATACACATCTAGATGTGTATAAGAGACAGGCATATGTCTTTTTATAGGAGCGCAAATATTTTCAGAGCTACCACTCTTTCAGCTACTACGATAAAGTGCGCATGTACACAGATTTTTTTAATTAACTTTTCCTGTAGCCACTGATGTACAACATATTGGGTCGTTTTATTATAAAAGTTCCGTGGCAAAACAACGTATGTTTGCATGTTTGAAACTTAGTAATAAGTTTTTGAAATTGTGCATGTTTGTATATCTGTATATATTGGGATTTTAATTACAATCATTCAATTATTGCACAGTTATTAGCGATATTCACTTATACGTTGTTTTGCTTTAATGAACATCAGTAACGAGTTTTTTTTGCCAAACTCCATCGGCTCAAAAACAGTTTTTGAATACCAAAAGAGTCAAAACAAAGTATGTTCATCGTATATGCGTTGTAACGTGACTCTGCAGGACGTAAGCACGACCTCGTTATAGATTATTACTTTTTTTGGTTTACACGGAAAACGGAATACCATCAACAACTCAATTGCATATAACAACGACACCAACATCATCGTATCCTTCAAACTAATCATAAAATTGGAAAATCTCGCTCACACACGTGATGCATTTGTTAACGACCTAACTCGTCTGTGATTGTGTTTGACAAAGATAAACGAAAGGGGAAAACAATTTTTTGTTTCTTTCATTTTATTAACTTTAAATCTTTGAAAGGCGCTGTTATCTGTTCGACGACGGTGGCCGTCTTAGCAGAATCACCACGAGCAGGTTAACAGCTTGATCCCGTCCCTGTCCGATTTTAAGACACCCTCGCATAGGATGTCGGATCCTATCGCATTAGGATTCCGTTCGACCTTTATTTTCTCGCCAAACTTTCGACCTTTATTCTCTCGCAAACCGGTCGACCTTTAATCTCCCGCAAAAACGTTCGACCTTTTTTGTTTATACTAACGACACCATCGCATAGGATGTCGGATCCCGTTCGACCTTTGATTCTCGCCTCCAAAAAACCTAGCGCTCTAGGAGTTTCGAATTCTTGCGCAAAAGGATCATTTCCTGTCCTCCAACGTGAGATCTTAACTCGATAGGACCTTGATCGCCTTCCCGAACCAAACAATATAAACGACGGACCCTAGCGCAGTAGGATCCTTTCCTTTTTCGTAAGTCGGATTCCAACTCCGACGCCCATGTAACGTTGCCTTTCTTAGGCTGATTCAGATCCGACTGCAGGAAGTATTCAACAGAATAGCAGTACCTGTCTAACAATCGGCAGTAATCCGTTCCCCGTTGGTGGCATCGAAGTCGAAATTGTCCCGCACGCAAACGGAACACCGCCTAATCGAAAGTCCTATACGCAAACAGGACGCAGTCTTATCGAAAGTCCCGTACGCAAACGTGACTCGTCCATCTCGATAGTCCTGTACGCCAACAGGACGCCGTGTTATCGAAAGTCCCGAACGCAAACGTGACTCTTCCATCTCGAAAGTCCTGTACGCCAACAGGACGCCGTGTTATCGAAAGTCCCGAACGCAAACGAGACACCGCCTTCTCGAAAAAGTCCCGTACGCCAACAGGACGCCGTCTTATAGAAAGTCCCGAACGCAAACGAGACACCGCCTTCTCGAAAAGTCCCGAACGCAAACGAGACACCGCCTTTTCGAAAAGTCCCGAACGCAAACGAGACACCACCTTATCGTAAGTCCCGAACGCAAACGAGACACCGCCTTCTCGAAAAGTCCCGTACGCAAACAGGACGCCTTCCGCGAAGGTATTAGGGGATCAGAGACATCGTCCGGCGAGACCTTCCCAAGTCGAGAGGCACCGAATGCTGCATCGGTGCTCCCCCCTCGCCCGGCTCCCAACTACCACGGTATCTTCACAGTGGACAAAAAGTCCGATATTGAGGCACGCAAAAACTATAGAGGGCGTGCTATATTTAAAACCCACTTGTATACACGTCACTCGCTTTGAATATTCAATGATTTTAATCCACCATTAATACTATAAATTCGAGGATATTATTAAATATTCATGATCTATTCCTAATTTGGTCATGTGGGAGGAGCCTGGAACATATTGTTCAGAATAATTCCTCATGGAAGTCGCTGTGTAGGCCGACAAAGGTAAGCCTATATTTTTCATGTTTTTGTAGTCAAATTTTCGGGTTTTTTGGCTAAAAAAGTACATAGTGTTATCCATCATTTTTGCAAAAATGCATTTGATGTATGTAATGCTTCATTAC